ATTTTGTTGACTGTTTTCATAACACTTTAATGCATTCAGTGTATCAACATCAGTGTAATTGAATAAGTGCTAAGAATGAGATGCTTCACTGTGGTTATTCATTCTAGTCATTGTTCTAAGTCAACTATTTCAGTTAAACTAAACCTTCAGACCAACCTTTAACCTGATACATGTCCAGTTGTTTATTGATTTCAGCTGAGACAGGACCAGGGTAAAAGTAATTGTAAATTATTTTCTTCTGTGTGTTCCAGGTATCCAATTTGGATTTCTTTCTGAGAGACTTAGATGTAAGTGACTTCAAAGCTTTCACTACCTTTGACTCAAAATGTCTGTATCTTTTACTAAGTTAATTTTATTTCTGTGTTTTTTTTCTCCAGAACCTGTATTTGGCAATGGAGGAAAAAAAAAAAAGCAACTTAGTCTACAAGCTCACAATATTCTGTAGCTTTGTCTACTCCATCTGTTTTAAGATGAGATGCTTTTTGTTTCTAGGAGCTATCAAAGGAAAGTGAAGACAAGGAGAGCTAGTAAGGCATGTCAGACAAAGGAGGAGCATTTGCTTAGGCCTTCGAGGCTCAGTGCAGAGCAGTTGGGATTTTTTGGCTCTGAATCTATTGAAAGCTATAGAGGGAGCCCTGAAAGATTAGCTTGAATGGCTAAAGTTACCTTTTTGGAATACTTCACACTTGCCAAACTCTCAGGGGGCTAAATTTAGAGGAGGTAAATCCCATTCTCACTGGGGTGCAATTAATCATGAGCTACTTTACTGCAACTGTCTCCTATGATGAAAATTTGAGAAGAAATTTTTTTTTTCTGGATTTAGGTTGTAAGTATAATTAAAGATAATTTTGAAGTGTAATTTCTTAAAAAAATCTATCAACATTTTATGACTAGAAGATACATTAAAGAATAAATTATTTTGATCAATTTAAAGAAAAAAATCAACCCAAGCAGCAAGGTAACAAGAATTTTTTAGACTATATATCCTCCAAGTAATACTTGTGTTCTTATGGGCAAATAACTATGAGTCTTGAATAAAAGGATTTAAGACCAAAGATTTTTAGAATAAAGTCTGAAAGCTTGTGTTTTGTGGTCCTAATGCTTCCTTTGCAATTTTTTAGGATACAATAATAATGAAAGTTTTTGTAAATAGGGATGGTAATCCAGATCTTTATTTAAAGTGGAATCTCTTTCCAGAGTTTTTCTTTTATGAGAAGATGGATCCACACTGGTTTATCACTTTCAAAATATGTATCAGAGATTGTGTCTTGAAACTAAATATCTCACAATAAATACACTTAAAATTTTATCATTCTATTTTCCCATGCCACTGCTTTACACTTCTCTGCAAGAAAAAACTGATAAAGAGGATAAAAATTCCTGTACTTGAGGGGTGGCTGTTTACACAAATTCCTTTCTCCACAAAATCAATTACAAAGAAGATGATGTTCTATACTGTCATACTCCTTAGCAAACCATGCATCCAAATTAGTTGCAAGAACATTGACTTTTGAGCTGATATATTTGCTAGCTTAGCAGAAATCACAGATTCTTTCTTTCTTTCTTTTCTTTCTTTCTTTCTTTCTTTCTTTCTTTCTTTCTTTCTTTCTTTCTTTCTTTCTTTCTTTCTTTCTTTCTTTCTTTCTTTCTTTCTTTC